TATGGGGGGGGGGGAGTACATGACCAGTACATGTTTTTAAAAAAGAAATTATTTTTGTGTTCCACAAAAGTCAGTCATATTTTATATGGGTCATGTGGGTTGAGTAAATGGTGACAATTTCATTTTGGTGTTATTTTTGTATGATAAACAGTTTTGGTTCCATGTTGGGTCATCACTTATCATCCAATTGCTAAACCTGATGCAAAACCAGTAAAAAAAACAAAAACAAAAAAAAACAATGATTTCAGGAAATAGAAAAAGACATTCGTAACTAAAGCAAGCTAGAGCTTATTAATGCATTACGTTTCATAATATTTGTCATTAAGAGGCATGAAATGTTGCACAAACAAATTCTCATATCGCACTTTAGGGGGGAAACCACAAGCTTAAGATATATAAACACCATTCACTGAGCAGCTGCTCCTTGTCTCAGCCACAAGGGATGAGGCTGGGAAGGGGGAAAAACTGAAAGAGCTAGAAAAAGAGATCCAGCTAACTGCTTGCCTCTTCCTCAGTGAGCTACAACTCTGCAGCATTAGACCATCAATCATTTTATAACACTAAGCCATAAACACATCAGCACAGACCAGCTGAGGAACAAGGACAGACTTCTGGCAAACAAAGTCACTGTATTCACACTGAGACTTGTGGAAGCACAGTCTGATGTTGACTGATTGCATGACTACCATCAGCACAGCAAGACCTGGAGATCTGTTACTGGCTTCAAACACTCTGCCTGATCTCTCTCACCTGTGGCACCACAGCGTCTCGTGGCCCGGAAATGACTCGATGAGATCAGTGCAGAGCTCCATCTCCTCGTGGAAGAGCTGAGGGATGACGTCATTATGGTGATTGTCATCAGACGCACCCGCTGTGCTCTCTCCGTTAGGCTGCTTGCTGGGGTGGAGCTCTGTCTCTCCAACCTGGCTCAGCTCTCTGGCCAGGGCCTTGAGCAGGTGTTGACGGTAGTGGAAGCCACTGTGATCCGACAAGTGCATGGACACCCACAGTCGGGTGGAGGACAGCTCATCATGCAGAACCTGGAGTAGAAAGTCAGAGTATTATATTCATTTAACAGCATTATGCTTCAGGTTGTTGCAAATGAATTTCAGTTCAGATGCCAAGTTGTAAGTGCTATGGATGTCAGCATATCAATCAATTTATTCAAAAGCCTTGAATGATATATGCCAAAACATGCATATTATTATACATTGCTCAAATATGAGGGGAAAAAAAACCTTTACAGGGTAAAATGCGGAATTTCTTCAGCAAAAATTAGATGCACAGATATAAAAATTTTGTTTGATAAGCCAATAATTATTTTTACATACAATTACAATTTACATACAATTTTATCTAAACAAATGAAAAATAAAACACTAAAGCTAAAATCAATCATTTTAAATGTGAATTGATGCATCACAACATTATAATGTACAGGATTAATAATAGATATTCATTTTGAAGTTTATATTTAACAGTATTATAAAATGCTTATTAACTTTAAGTGAGAGTTAGATGATTTAAAGATAAAAATAAAGGAACGGAGCATGCATAATTAAATATCCAATAGTATTTTAAAATAAAATCCATGATTTCCTCATGCAGGGTTTGTACACATTTTTACCAATAAATTGACATGACTTTTAAGACAATATTCATGACCTAATGTTCCATTATTTTACAAGTATACATGTAAAATAAGAATCCAAATCTATGTTGAAATTTATCATAGCATATGTTGGCTAAAATAAATGACTATTAAGGCTACTTGTTTGCTTTCTATTTGTTTTAATAATAAGTACAACCTGCGACTGTGACATTGCTCTATGGAGATAGAATTGTTGCATAATTCCAAATAAATACATTATGATCCACAATAAATGTAAAGATATTAACAAAAATTAAACACATTGACAAATAAATAGAATGAGATCCACAAATAAATTTCACAAACATTAAATTCACACGTAAATAAAATGAGATTTGCAAATAAAAAACATTCACAAATATATTTTTGTCACACAAACAACTTTTCCTTGCATTCAGTTGTGAATCGCTTACTCTGCATCTGTGAATGGCTTTCTGTGCATTTGTGGATCGCTGCATGCATTTGTGGCTTTTCAAACATTTCTAGCATCAAGACACTGACAATCCACAAATGCATGGACTCAACCCACCATCTACTCAAGCCAATCAGATAATAGCCACAGTTCGCTGACCAATCGTAGCACGTTCTCGCTATAACCGTTCATGTTTTGTTTTACAATCAGGGTGGGAGCAGATTCATTTTGCACCCCTGTAAGTACTGCATTCTATGGACACTTCATTCAAATTGAGCTGAAGTGCGGTTTGTGTGGTTAAAGGGGTCATATGACGTTGCTAAAAAAGAACATTATTTGGTGTATTTGGTGTAATGAAATGTGTTTATGCTGTTTAAGGTTCAAAAAACATTATTTTCCACATACTGTACATTATTGTTTCTCCTCTATGCCCCGCTTTTCTGAAACACTCATCGTTCTGAAAAGCGAGGTGTGCTCTGATTGGCCAGCAATCCAGTGCGTTGTTATTGGCCAAATTCCTCAAGCTTGTGACGGAAATGTTACGCCGCTTACCATACTGTGATGCCATGTCCCGGCGCGACGAGACAAAACCAATAAAACCCATTATAAACGAGGCATTTGTTGCAACCAGTGGGGACATAATTACTGATTATAATTACTTATACTGTCTTTTTACACGTTGCATCGCACCGCGTAAACATAAAACCATGTCTGCATTTGTGATCGGAGAAACGACAAACAACAAGCACTACTCTACACTGCTCAAAACACGCGTTTGAATCACCAGTGGCAAATCCTTTAAATATGAAAACATACTTACAGTCTGTGAGTCAGCATTATTTGTCAGCACCATAGACTGTGGTCAGCATGCACGCCGAAGGGGAAACGGGAACTGAATTCACCAGAACACTGGCATTGTAGGCTACTCTCCCAGGAAACAGTCCTCGTCCTCCGTAAAATGCGTTGCACACATCTGAATATTTGGTTTCTAGTTCCACTGATTTCTAGTTGTGTCCTCTTTTGGAAGACCAAACAAAGTAGTTTCGCTTTCACAATGAAACACAGCGTCTCCACGACATGGCGGCGGCAACAACAATACTACAGCGAGAATAAAAGTTACGCCTTCTTTCTTTGCGTGAACATTTGGGCGGTGTTATGCAAATCTTCCCACATAGTGACCTTGATGGGATCCAACCTTTGGAATCGACTCTCGATTCCCAACACCTCGGAATCTATTCTTTTTGGAATTGATTCCCAGCCCGACTTTTCTTTCCATCTTGAATAACATGACACATCCATAACGCGTTAGTATCCATTATAGCGTTGTTCCCATAGCCGTGATTTAATCCAATTTTCAACATCTCTTACTGTATCAATTTGTATGGCCATTATATTTCCAATTTGAGTCAATGCAGATGAATGAAGATATTTCAGGACAAGACTGCCCTGAATGTAAAGTAAAACGTGATAGGTTATAGCGAGAACATGCTACAATTAGTCAGCAAAGTGGGGCAATTATCTGATTGGCTTGAGTAGACGGTGGGTGGAGTTCACACATTTGTGGATTGTCAGCATCTTGACGCTACAAATGTTTCAAAATCCACAAAAATGACACATCCATAACGCGTTAGTATCCATTATAGCGTTGTTCCCATAGCCGTGATTTAATCCAATTTTCAACATCTCTTACTGTACCAATTTGTATGGCCCTTACATTTCCAATTTGAGTCAATGCAGATGAATGAAGATATTTCAGGACAAGACTGCCCTGAATGTAAAGTAAAACGTGATAGGTTATAGCGAGAACATGCTACAATTAGTCAGCAAAGTGGGGCTATTATCTGATTGGCTTGAGTAGACGGTGGGTGGAGTTCACACATTTGTGGATTGTCAGCATCTTGACGCTACAAATGTTTCAAAATCCACAAATGCGTGCAGCAATCTACAAATTCACAGAAAGCCATTCACAGATGCACAGCGAGTGATCCACAAATGTGTGCAGCAATCTACAAATGTACAGGACGCGATTCACAAATGAATGTCAGGCAAAGTTGTGTTTGTGACATAAAAATATATTTGTGAATGTGTTTTTTTTATTTGCAAATCTCATTTTATTTATTTGTGAATTTAATTCATGTTTGTGAAACTGCATGGATCCAATGTACTGATACACATGCATTTCATTCTTAACGGTTTACATTCACTTAAGACAAAACCGACTGTTATTTACAAGGATACTTGCTAGCACGAGCATAATGACATAATTTTGTGCATATTTGGCCATTTAAGCGCAATAAGCTGTGAAAAATAACTAAATTTGGTACTAGGCTGCTTTCAGAGCTCCAGACAAAAAAACAAAAACAAAAAAATGGAGCCATTGGCTCCTAATAAGAAACAAAATTAGGCGCTGAATTTTTTTTTTTAAGTGTCTCAGAATAAACGTGTTTTAATATTATTTTTTTCACACTAACATTTCAGTCATACTGTCATGTATTTATGTCTCATCTTTTCTTGTCTTTATCAGCATTTTAATCCATCTTGTAGATGTCCTGGGAATTAAGGATCACTTGAAGTGGGAACTAAATGTCGTTTCCAACTTGAGAACTATATACAGTCACAAAGAATTGTTCAGGAGGTGTTGAATTTTACCTTTAGCACCGTGCATTCTTTCTTATCATGTAGACAGCAGGATAAGTAAAACTATGAATATGCAATATAGTGCATAAATTTAGCAAAATGCTCCTATTTATAGGTTATTCTGAGGTAAATGATTGTTATGTCGCATTGTTTACAAGCATTACATGAATGAGTGATTACATGAGACATTTCAGTAATGATGTCCATTCATGTTGATTTCATATAGTAAATAGAAAGATTGAACTGAGGCGCTAAAGCGATCGCTCATGCCGCATTAAATAGAGCCAAAACTTTATTTATTGTTCGAATTTCGTTAAGAATTTTAAAGCTGATACTTTATTAAAATGTAACAAAGCACAAAGCTTATTGCAATTAATGGACGGCAAGTGCGCTACAAATAATATGAAGTTCACGCAAAAGAACACAGCATTTAGACTAAAGATCTTGATAACAAGATGTATCGATTTTAAACGAATTGTTAACGATATATTGCTAATGTCCACACAGCTGACAGCTTTACCTGTTATAGTTTGTTCAAATTGCACACGAATTAGATACTGGTTTTCTGCACTATTACTTCATGTGTCTCCGCTCTCTCATGCCGCAACAGCTGAAGCTGCTTTCAGCAGGTGAGCCGTCAACGCTGCTGTTCAGCAGAGATGAGGACTGTTTGAAAGTCTTTTTTCCACTAAAACTTTAATGCGCATTGTCTCAGTTTATTACGTCAACATAAAAAAAGATGTGCACGCAACACAATCAGAAAAAAGTCATTAAATGCACATTTTTTAATCATAACATGTATATTTCTATAGTCACCAGTGGCGACCTCAGCAAAAACTTCACTCACAAATTAATATTTTTGGTCACAGTCGCAGTCTAGTGACTGCACAGAAAACCAGACTGCGGAGCCAGTCTCTGGAGCGCGCGAGTAACCGAATTGTTTAAAAAGACTTAAAAAAAGATGTGCAAATGATACAGTTTTATGACGATGCAACACTTGCCAGATTAGGCAAGTGACAATTCTGTCAGCTGTCCCAAAACGTGAGCGAAAGTCTCGTATTGCAGCGTGCAGCAGCTCATTTGTAGTGTAGACGAGATGCGCTGATGTGACGTCATTTTGAGAGAGAGAGAGAGAAGACGCACTACATCTGAAACACGATGTTTTCAAATTACTGATTTGATTTGATCTGATATTCTATCTGGATTTATTTACATCTAACCTACATGCTATATTAAATGTACATAATATAAAATGTTTGCTGGAATTTCCCGCATTATAAACCCGAAACCCAAATTCAGACCAAGGAAAACAAGACATGCAGAGATGTAAGATGACAGCCGCATAACCCAATTACCCCTGAAATAGCCTATGAATAGCTCAGACTGGTTCAAGTCTGTTTAGTCCTGGATCATTAAATCTACAGGCTCATCCTTTTTATATGAGGGTCTTTAGCTTGGATTGAGCCCTATAACATTTGCCTAATTTCGCATCCAATTAAGAAAGGATAAGCACATCAAAGGTCTGGCACTCAGTGACCCCCTAAGAGCCAATAAGCTCTCCTGACTAACAGCACTCAGCTCTCTCTCTCTAAAAAAAACAAACAAAAAAAACAAATTAAATAAAAGCTAAAAAGACAGAAAAATGTGGCATCTGTAATCAGGTCTCATCCTAGGGTAATTCAAGTGGAGAAGAAAGGTATTAAGATCATCAAAGGCTCAGGTAGATTTATCAACCTCATAAATAACCATCTCATGTTGCTTTCCTTGTAACAGCACTGATGATATGCCAGTGTGATCCATCATTCCTTAAAGTAATCTAAAACAAATCTAATCTTTGAGATGTACGCAAACAAAGCAACATCTAACAGACACCCATTTTCAGTCATTATGATAAATCACACAGACATAGTGCAGAAAGCTGCAGAGGACTGAGCCTACCTTCAGATTGCCTTTAGCCATGTTTTGCAATACCCAGATGCGATGGGACCAGGCATTATAGTTGCTCGGGTAACGGCCGGCTGCGTCTGCACAGACCCTCATCTCCTCCTGCAAGGCTCTTTGCAGCCGCTCGCACGGTCTCCTCCCCACAGCGTCTCCTCTGGGTTCAGCCTGATCCTTCAGTTCTTGTCCAGAAGGAGAGCACTCCTTCTGCAGCCACTGTAACACCCAGCGCCTGCGTTCACAACAAACCAATTAAGCAGACTGATCATACACATGTCTGGACTCTGGAGGCACAAGGAATTTAACATGCTTATGGCTTTATTTATGAGAAAGCAAAATCAACGTGTTTTAATATTATTTTTTTCACACTAACATTTCAGTCATACTGTCATGTATTTATGTCTCATCTTTTCTTGTCTTTATCAGCATTTTAATCCATCTTGTAGATGTCCTGGGAATTAAGGATCACTTGAAGTGGGAACTAAATGTCGTTTCCAACTTGAGAACTATATACAGTCACAAAGAATTGTTCAGGAGGTGTTGAATTTTACCTTTAGCACCATGCATTCTTTCTTATCATGTAGACAACAGGATAAGTAAAACTATGAATATGCAATATAGTGCATAAATTTAGCAAAATGCTCCTATTTATAGGTTATTCTGAGGTAAATGATTGTTATGTCGCATTGTTTACAAGCATTACATGAATGAGTGATTACATGAGACATTTCAGTAATGATGTCCATTCATGTTGATTTCATATAGTAAATAGAAAGATTGAACTGAGGCGCTAAAGCGATCGCTCATGCCGCATTAAATAGAGCCAAAACTTTATTTATTGTTCGAATTTCGTTAAGAATTTTAAAGCTGATACTTTATTAAAATGTAACAAAGCACAAAGCTTGTTGCAATTAATGGACGGCAAGTGCGCTACAAATAATATGATGTTCACGCAAAAGAACACAGCATTTAGACTAAAGATCTTGATAACAAGATGTATCGATTTTAAACGAATTGTTAACGATATATTGCTAATGTCCACACAGCTGACAGCTTTACCTATAGTTTGTTCAAATTGCACACGAATTAGATACTGGTTTTCTGCACACACTCCCTGCAGGTCCATATAAGCTCATGGTCTTGTCAGTTGCACAAGCTTTGGATATTTATTAGTGTTCCAGGGATCCGTGTACAGTGGTTTGCCCTTGTCTTTGCAGTAGTGACGGAATTCTACTTCAGTATGTGCCACTGTTGACATGTTGCAAGAGGTCTACAATTGCAGACAATTTCATTCCATGGTCTCCTGGCCACTGTTTTCACTGTTTCAGCCAGTTTGAGAGCAAGGTTTCTTCCATACTAATTCAGCTACAAGAAAGCAGAGCACATACATTTTCCGGTACAGCGCATCCAACTATTCCATTATTAATTTCTTAATGCCTAATGTATTATTCATTTTTTATATCACTATTATAAAATAAACTAAATGTAATATGGAAAATAGGACACTTAAAGGGTGCAGAACACAGCAATTCTATAATATGTAATCTTTAATATTTTAAAAGACCTTATTTAACTGTATACATTAAGAGAGTTACACAATGAACATTTATCGCACTAAAGCAGATGCCTTCACTGGTGTTTACATTTATGCTCTAAAATCATAGTTACCCAATAACAACAACAAATAACCTTGCTTCCACAAACATCAGAGGTCCACAAACATTTTACTACACAGGGCCAAACACTTGATTGAAAGTAAATAAATGTTTTTTTTATAAATCAAAATCAATTATATTCTCTAAATTTGAATGTAAAAAAAAAAAGATGTTATATATATATATAATAACGTTCCTTTTTTCGACCACTCTTGTAATATGACGTTGCAGGCCAAATCAAAGATTTGGATTTTTAGATTTAAAAAAAAAAAGATTAAAAAAAAAATCCCCTTACCTGTGTATCCATGTCTCTGGGCTTTTAGGATGCTTAGATAGTGCTAGTTTAACCAGGTAAAGGTCTTTCTCTGGGTTTAACACGCCACACTGCAGGAGCTCTTTCCTATAAAACAATCAATACCCAGATGAATTCAAAAGGATACAACCATAAAAAATAAATTAAAATACAATACAGCACCACCTCCTGGACAATAGGTTTCTTCTATGCAACATTATCATGAAGACATTCAGCCAAGATTTTGTGCAAAAATTCTAATAAAAACCTAGTTCTAGTTTAAATAAATAAATAAAGTAAAGTAAAGTAAAGGCTGGTTTCTTAAACCAGGCATGGATTAAATATACCTACACTGTTTCCTGTATGAAACTAAATGTTAGAAAAATCAGTAAATTCTTTGCTCCCTATGTGATAGCGCAAATAGACAACTTTAGAGTTAAATGTAGCAGCAGTCTTTTGATGTCTCCTTTCCCAAATTAGACAACTTTTTAAAAATAGCAGCAGCACATTCAGAACAATAAAATGGCTGACATTTAGACAGACATCAAAGAGAAGAAATAGAGAATTTCTAAAAATACCATAAATGACATGTGCATATAATCATTCAGAAAGTATGTGAAGGGTTAGTTTGGCAGAATGTTTTTTTTCAGGTATTACAAATGATGAAAATGTACCTGACATTCCACGCAGTTGTAAAATCTGGGTTTAAGAGAAGCAATGTGCAGGTTATATCTACCAGTGCTTGAAGAAAAGAAGAGAGAGAAGTCACTTTTTCTGCAACGCTGGTCTGTTGTATGAACAGCCATCTTTTAATAAAGACTAAGGTCACAGAAATGTGAGCGGCCGAACAAGCTAACCCAATAAACCTTCGTCCTACCTTCCCGATCGAGCCACTGCTTTCTCTGCCTGTACAGCAGGAGTCTATTATGCACATAGGGCAGCAGAAACTTGACACACCAGCTCTCCACTCCCAGCTTATTCTCCACCAGGACGATGGGGCTTCTGTTGTATCGGACTTCGGGGCACGGAATGAGGCCGATTTCATCACTGTGAACACAATGTAAAAGATAAAAAGAAAAACAAGTCACAAGGCTATTCTAAGAAACTCTGCTAATGAGCTAAAGGCAGACAGCAATGCATAAAGCACCAAACATCTCAGCTGACACTGATACAGATGTACCTCTTTGGCAGAGATACAAATGTGTCATGGGAGAAGAGCTAGGTGAAACCATTGGGACACTGACCTTCAAATATGGAACAAAGAGACCTAACACACAGAAAAACAACATTTGCATTGAAGGCAGCACTAAAAAGACTGACGAGATGCTTCATATGTGGACTGAAGTGATGTGTTTGGATACACAAGAGCAGCAATGTTGCAACCACTGAATGTCTAACTCCGAACACCAGTAAAAACAAACGCACATGGCAAATTACTGAGATTTATCATTTTAAATATAACGCATTAAAGCTCGCTACGCCCTCCAGTTAACGTTACTGGCCAGGGAGTAAAAAACCCAAACATTAACAGTAACGTTACTAGCTACTACAACATGACAAGCACGCGCTCTTCGCGTTTCACTTATTAGAGAAACTTTCGGCGTTCGCACGGTGCTTGTTAAACAGGCGCCCCAGACACATTTTCACACGACCGGTCTAAAGGCGAGGCTTGGTGAGCTCTACCTGCGGGTGAGAGCTGGTTAGTAGCCGGTTAGCCAGCCACTGTCTGCGCAAGTTACACAGGCTGCTGCACAATGTTCTCCCTGCGGCTGAGCGCGAGGTTCTAAGCCGCTGTAAAAAAAACATAACCTGAATGAGCGCGAGATAAGAAGCAATGCGAGTTCACATACGTACATGTTGGGGTTTCGTTTAAAGGCGTTATTGATATCTTTCACAACTCTCTGGACCAAAACATCCACCTCCTCTTCCGACTCAGCCATTTTCAGAGATCGAGTGACGTCATCAACGCGGGTGACTCAACCTCATCCGGGACATTTCACAAGCTACAGTTAGTAACCATAATAACGCGTACGTTGTTGCTATGTAAAATTAGGAGATGATCTTGTTTAGTCATAATACAGAGTTATTAATTATACTACTCTTCAGTATATCATTAAACAGGATATTCCTTGAATCATACATAAACAGGGGGGAAACAAATACAATTTTAAAGAAAATACTTGTTCATTTATCAAAACAATAAACAGATTGAACTACTGGTATTCGATTAATAATAATCAAACTGACCCCTGTACACTGTTGATCCTTTACCCATACCACCAAACCTGTCCCTAACCTTACCCATATCACACCTCAATAGCAGCAAAAATGTTGTGCACACTTTTAATCATTTTATAACATCTGTTAAAATCATTTGTAGATTTTCAATAAGTGCTTGATCATATGGAATTTAAAGTTTAATGATATTTGTTAGCATTTTAACTTAGCCTACATGAAATAATTATTTGTTAAGCATTATGTAGTGTTTAATAAGTTTATTAGTTAACATTAACAAGCAGGGTAGACTGAGTACAGTTGATACACTTTCTGCTTTTTTCATCACTACACAAAAACTAGATGCTGAAATGAAGTGATTTTTCACACGATATTTCTTTTGCTTATGTACTAAAATATCATAAATTGATAATAGCCATACGTAGTTTATTTTCCACAATTAGCTCATAAACATAAGGTGCATTTTTGTTTCAACTGTACCTATATATGGTACAGTTGAAACAGTACCATGGTACAGTTGAGACACCCATTCTTAATGCTCTAAAGCTGGCTAAACATTTATTGCAAATGAAATAAATTACAAAATTACAGTTGTGCATTTAAAAAAAAACTGATTTATTTATTTGCTTTATTTAATTCAAATTTAATTAAACAAATAGGAACACATATTTAACACTAGAAAAGTTATGGCAAACAGTATAAATGTAAACATAACAGTAAAAATAACAATATACCCGTATATTATATAACCCACTTTACCACCTTGTATTTTTCTTAAAATGCTATGCAATCCTTTTAACATTCATGTTAGAAAACATGTCCATTAATAATAGGCAGTTAAAATATCACAAATATAATTTTTTAACAGAATTTGCATAGCATGTGTGTAAATGTGACTTTTAACCTATTATCATAACACTGTACAACTAAACAGCATGTGAAGCAATAGGACACAATCCGAATGGCTTTATCATACACAAGGCTATGTCTCAACCGTACCCCACACAGTTAGTAACCATAATAACGCGTACGTTGTTGCTATGTAAAATTAGGAGATGATCTTGTTTAGTCATAATACAGAGTTATTAATTATACTACTCTTCAGTATATCATTAAACAGGATATTCCTTGAATCATACATAAACAGGGGGGAAACAAATACAATTTTAAAGAAAATACTTGTTCATTTATCAAAACAATAAACAGATTGAACTACTGGTATTCGATTAATAATAATCAAACTGACCCCTGTACACTGTTGATCCTTTACCCATACCACCAAACCTGTCCCTAACCTTACCCATATCACACCTCAATAGCAGCAAAAATGTTGTGCACACTTTTAATCATTTTATAACATCTGTTAAAATCATTTGTAGATTTTCAATAAGTGCTTGATCATATGGAATTTAAAGTTTAATGATATTTGTTAGCATTTTAACTTAGCCTACATGAAATAATTATTTGTTAAGCATTATGTAGTGTTTAATAAGTTTATTAGTTAACATTAACAAGCAGGGTAGACTGAGTACAGTTGATACACTTTCTGCTTTTTTCATCACTACACAAAAACTAGATGCTGAAATGAAGTGATTTTTCACACGATATTTCTTTTGCTTATGTACTAAAATATCATAAATTGATAATAGCCATACGTAGTTTATTTTCCACAATTAGCTCATAAACATAAGGTGCATTTTTGTTTCAACTGTACCTATATATGGTACAGTTGAAACAGTACCATGGTACAGTTGAGACACCCATTCTTAATGCTCTAAAGCTGGCTAAACATTTATTGCAAATGAAATAAATTACAAAATTACAGTTGTGCATTTAAAAAAAAACTGATTTATTTATTTGCTTTATTTAATTCAAATTTAATTAAACAAATAGGAACACATATTTAACACTAGAAAAGTTATGGCAAACAGTATAAATGTAAACATAACAGTAAAAATAACAATATACCCGTATATTATATAACCCACTTTACCACCTTGTATTTTTCTTAAAATGCTATGCAATCCTTTTAACATTCATGTTAGAAAACATGTCCATTAATAATAGGCAGTTAAAATATCACAAATATAATTTTTTAACAGAATTTGCATAGCATGTGTGTAAATGTGACTTTTAACCTATTATCATAACACTGTACAACTAAACAGCATGTGAAGCAATAGGACACAATCCGAATGGCTTTATCATACACAAGGCTATGTCTCAACCGTACCCCACTGACATACTCGCACGTTTCTCTAGATTATGAAAAGACCTTGCATGGCACAATGTCATATGTCTATTTTTAAAACTTAACTTATTTTTAAACGCATCCTTTACAATCATCCTACTGCTTGTCTGCTTGATCCTATTCCATTTCATCTCCTTCAAGCCATTTCTCCTGCTGTTGTACCTGCACTCACTCACATCATTAACACATCCCTTCACACTGGTGTTTTTCCCTCAACATTTAAACAGGCTCGTATAACCCCAGTTCTTAAGAAACCCACTCTTAACCCAACTCTTTTAGAGAACTACAGACCGGTTTCCCTTCTACCTTTCATTGCAAAAACACTTGAACGAGTTGTGTTCAACCAAGTCTCAGCCTTTCTCACACAGAACAACCTCCTGGACAGCAACCAGTCTGGCTTCAGAAGTGGACATTCAACCGAGACTGCCTTGCTTTCAGTTGTTGAAGCCCTAAGACTGGCAAGACCCGCTTCCAAATCTTCTATTCTTATTTTGCTGGATCTGTCTGCTGCTTTTGATACGGTGAACCACCAGATTCTCCTGTAGCTTTGGATAAAAGCGTCTGCTAAATGACTAAATGTAAATGTAAATGTAAAACACAGATTAACTTTTGCAATGATATATAAGTTTAACAATCATAAAATAATAATGAGCTATTCATTGTTGAAAGGACATGGTGAAATGAAAATCTCACCTTGTAAAAAAAACTTTTGCTGATATTTTCTGAGTGGAAAGACGCACACATTTCAAATTTCCCACGATCAAAGAGAACACTAATACACATGTGTGGAGCAAAAATCACGGCTTGGGGTTCTTGTGTATGCAAGTTATTTAAGGTGTTTCAACTGTACACATGCCTCAAATGTCGACTACTCAGTCTATGGGATTACAATTCTGCCACAGTTCTGTGCGCGAAAGATCATATTTTGAGCGTGCAAAAGTGCATTTTGCACGCACGCAAAATGAGTTTTGTGGAGAAAATGTTTGTCTCGCAAAGAAGAAAGTATTTCGAGCACACGAAAATAAATTTTGCATTTAAAATACGTTTTTGGATGTGTGCAGACCTTCTCTTTTGTGCGTGCAACGTTTCACTAGCTTGTAGTGTTGGGTCGTTCTTCGTTAATTTTGAACGAATCTTTAAAGTGACTCGGGAAGAACGAGTTGTCTCTGGGAGTGATTTGTTCAGCCGCGCATGCGCAACATCCTATAGGTTCTGTACTGGAATTAGTCAAGTAGTTCACCTGGTTCGAGTCTTCGGGTTTTTCCGAGTTGTTCGTTCATCACTTGACAGCCCCGTAAGCTTTAACCAATGCAGTCTGAGCCGGAATGAGAATTGATTAGTTCATCTCTCGAGTCTTCGGGTTTTTCCGAGTCGTTCGTTCATCACGTGACAGCCCCATAAGTTTAACCAATGCAGTCTGATCCGGAAAGAGAATTGATTAGTTCATCTCTCGAGTCATCGGGTTTGAGTCGTTCATTCATCACATGACAGCCCCATAAACTTTAACCAATGCAGTCTGATCCAGAAAGAGAATTGATTAGTTCATCTCTCGAGTCATCGAGTTTGAGTCTTTCATTCATCACGTGACAGCCCCATAAGCTTTAACGAATGCAGTCTGAGCCAGAAAGAGAATTGATTAGTTCATCTCTCGAGTCTTCGGGTTTGAGTCGTTCATTCATCACGTGACAGCCCCTTAAGCCCAAACCCGAAGACTTGTCAGATAAGAGGTCAGGTGAGCTAATCATAGACTGAAGACCCAGGTAAACAATTAATTAATCTTTTCTGTTTCTTATAGCAGTTTTGTTTTGTTTGTAGTGTGATCAACGTTTGTGCAAGTAGTAGACGTATTAGGGAAGTAACACGTAACATTTTTATTATATTTTGCTAAAATGAACGAAATGAACGAAATGACTCGAAAAAAGATTCGTTCATTTTGCTGAACGAGACTCAAAGGTCCGAGTCGGTAAAATGATCCGAACTTCCCATCACTAGTTTCAAGGGATGTTTGTCGTCATGAATAAGCAATAAGAGGGAATGTTTATGTAAATTCAAGGTTTATGGGATGATATTGTGAACCAGTAATTTTCCATCGCTACTGCTTGTGGTATAATAACACTTGTTGGATTTGTGCTGGTCAGACACATTTTTTATCCTTTTTTAATCATTATCACTTCGTCTCCTGCTTCTGCTCTTCACTGAATGAACGAAATGACTCGAAAAAAGATTTGTTCATTTTGCTGAACGAGACTGAAAGGTCCGAGTCGGTAAAAATGATCCGAACTTCCCATCACTACTAGCTTGCTCACCTGATGCCCGCCCTCAGTGCTCGCTAAATACCAACAGCTGGCGTACTCAACACAACCCAGCATTACAATGTGCCATAATTCCAGCCAATCAGAGACCGAGGCTGCTAAATTCTGATTGGCTGCCTTGACAACCAATCACAACATTTCTTGCATTACTTCGACAGCAAAAGAGGAAAAATACAGTGCATGCATAATTATTATG